TCATGAACCGCTCATGAAAAATTCCTAGTGTTGTTTACACGGAATTGATGCCGTAGCTCCAGAGCGGTAGTTTCACACTTTAATCGCCTTGGACATCCGCATATCTATTTCTTTTTCTGTTTTTTTTTTTTTCGTTTAAATATAAATATTTTAACGACGACTTAAACCTTTTTATTCGAATTTTTGAAAATAAATTACAAACTTTATCTTCAAAATAATAAATAATAATAAAAAAAATATAGGCTAAATTTTATTCATCATAATATTGATATTGTCATTTTTATTAATAAGTAAAATAAACTCTTGGTAATCCGAAATAATTATTGTCAGGGATTGTTTGGATTAGTGATATCAAATACTGGATCGCGTGACATACCCAAGGTATGCAATGATGAGAAAACTAACTCTTGAACAATCATTTATTTATGTGAAAATGTCTAATATGTATTAATTTAACAATTTCGTCTCAGTTTGAAAAGATAATTTGTGATTTATTTCGGTTTATCATTGAAATATTTATCGGAAAAACAGTTGATTCGAATTAACAGTGTTTGGATTAGAGCAGATTTAGGATGATAGAAATTTTATTTATTATTTCATTAAAATTCCCAATTATACATATACCGTATCTTAAGTTTTCAATCAATTTTCATTAAATTTAGATGACGTAATAATAATATATTAGCAGTTTAGTGATTCCTGTTAGTTTTATTGATTTGTATAAATTCAAGATGCAAAATACTTTTTCAAATAAGATTTACGACTGTTATATAAGATTAAACAATTAAATAATCGTCAAAAATTAGTATTTTTAAGTAGTGGTAAAAACTACATTTTAAAGATGTAGCGGCCTATAAAATATCTAGTTCTTTAAATAACTTTATATATAAAATAAGCATGAATAAAAATATTTGCATTTCAAATTATCATATGAATTTAACTTATTTCTGTTATTTTCAAAATAGAGAATTTCTAGCATATTTTAAACGCATTTTTGAATTATAATGCTACATTATATTTTTTTAGTGGAAGTAGTATTATATCAAATTATATAATCTATATAAATTTCCATGTGATGTACCAAGTCTTAAAATATAATTTCGAAATTATATTGTCTGAATTTAGATATTGACGACTTTGGTAAATTTTTTAAACCTGGGGATGACACAAAAGTTAGTTAACAGATATATTTAAGACTGTTTTAAAAACGGTTCTTATCGCTTGATCAAAAGCCATTTAATCACGAATATTACAACTCTATCTCTGTATACTAAGGCCTATAATTTTATACAGGTCTAATCATCATCAATCAATATTTATAATAAAGGTAAGTGTACAATTTGCGTGCCGCTAAAACTCAAAAACGAGTGCCGGTACGTTCAAGGGAGTTATATGGTGTGGTAGCCCTCTATCTCCCATCGATGAGGAAGGTTCCCGTTTTTACCTGAAGAGCGTGCTGTTGAAGATGTAAGGGCTGGAAGTTTCGCCCTCTAGAACAGTCAGGCATTCGAGAGCATTCCACAGCATTCCAGAATGTTCCGGAATGTTCTGGAACGTTCGGGAACATCCCAGATCATTGTGGAACATTCCAGAACANAAAATGTAAATTACCAAATTATATAGAAATTATCAAATTTGTTTTTAAAGTATATATATAATATCAAAATTGAAAGAAAGTTTTATATGCTGTCGTTTAATATATATACCTGGTATATAATTGAAGCAATAATAATTGAAAGAATAGTTGACCGGAAACAAACGGAATTCTCGGGTGCTTACCACAAAAACCGGAATCGATCTACTTGATTTCTACGTTTCTTTGTAAGTTGTTTCTCATTTTTACAAGCCGGAAAAGTAGTCTCATTATTTTAATCTACATTTATCACTAGCTATTATACATATAATTATATATACATTAGTGATGTAACGAATATTCGGTTACTATTCGCTATTCGGCCTATTTTTCGTTATTCGGCCGAATACCGAATACCTAAAAACAAGAGTAAGAAATAACAAAAACACGGTAAATTAATCATTTTGGTGTTTAGATTTAATGTTATCAGGTTAGTGTTGTTTGTTTATATTTATTTATAACTTATAAAATGCACAAAATAAAAAAGAACATAATATTAGTCACTTGTATTTACAATTTAAAATTACAAAGATCAGCACACGTACACACCTATTCGTTCGAGAATCGTCGCACATCTGAGGGTCTGACCCTGCCTATCGTTCTTTTTAAGCGCTCGTCTTTGCTTTTCCCTTTCTCTTTCCTCTATCTCTTTAATCCATGTATGCCTGTGCATACATCATAATACGCGCTCACGATACTTTCGATTCGTCACTTTTCCGTCGTGGAGTTCCCATTTTACAATTACGTGACTCATAGCCTGGTGATAACGGAGAAAAGAGACAGATAGGACGTCGTTATAAGTCACAGTTATGATTTCACAGATTCGAAACAGCTTGGTAGCCCGAACGACCTCAGGCTTTCGCCCGTGCACGCTAAGTGACTTTCATTACAAGCATTTAGCTTTCCGAAGTCTATGACAACAATTGTTTGTTTGGCATTCATGGCCGCGAATTTCGCGCCAATAAGCTGTCTCGACTTGTTCGAGGAGCTTATTGAGTTGATAACATAATCGACTTGTTCGATTATGTTATCAACTCAATTTCATATTTATTTTCACATTTTCACTTTGCGGTCCTTCTCTGTTCTTCTTCCGTTATTTACACGTGTAGATCATTTTATTGTTATCCACATTTGATATCATCACTTCTCACATACTGCCATGACGCTCTTGTCTGAACTGTCAAGAATTAACGCGATTGGCGAAGCGTAGTGACAGTGGGTCAATAGAGAGCAGGGTCCTTGCCATAATGCGGTTTGCGCGCCAATTTTCGTACGTGCGTTAATCAAGCCGAATAGTTTGGCCGAATATTCGGCTATTCGTTGCAACACTAATATACATACGTTTAATGCTCTCTATAAGATGCTCGAGATCACGTAACTAAGAAGATATCATAAAACACCGAAGATATAGCAGAGTAAATAGCAGAGTAAAACGATATAATTTTAGAGTAAAACGTATAATTTTAACTATTATAAAATGGCAAAAGACTTCATTTTGAGGGTAAGAATGGGTTTTATAAAAAATTATAAATGCTAATAACGAGTAAAATCGTCATTAAGTCCAACCGTACTGGAGATACACGACCCCCTTTATCTCCCTATCACTTGGACTTTAATCACTAAAATTTAATAGCATCAATCCCACTAATAAATAAACCTCCTTGCAAAATTTCACGAATTTTCGACGAAATATATAATTTATTAAGCTTCAAAGAGGGTAAACAAAATTCTGTCCCCTCCCACACTAATAGCCATCCATGCATACAGAAATTACCCCCGAATTTTTTTTTTTTTTNCAGTCAGGCATTCGAGAGCATTCCACAGCATTCCAGAATGTTCCGGAATGTTCTGGAACGTTCGGGAACATCCCAGATCATTGTGGAACATTCCAGAACACTCTCGAATGTTGTGGAATGTTCTGGAACATTGTGGACCATTCGAAGCCTTTTTTGTATGGGTGGGACTACTCATTGGTGGGGGTATACAAAGCAAGATCCGTCGTGGGTTCGAACGTCAGTTTCTTATCAGTGAAAAAGAAGAAGTGAAAATTCCAAAGTAGTGCAGTGAGTGAATAAAAACAAATAGTGAAGTGTGAGTAGTCAAAGTGATACAGTGACTGAATATAAATCGAAAACAAAGTGTGAAAACTACGTAAAGTGTACTTAGTGTATTTGTTAATAAAAAGTTGATTTGATTTATATTTTATACAATGCCCAAACTTAAAAGAGGAGGAGCTCTTGCCAGTTCTGAATTTTCTTTTGAATATTAAAGTTGATATCGTCGACAATATTATTTTTAGTTGCCAAAATTGCCCTTTGAAATAGCCACTCCGAATAATAATAAGCGCAGAGCCCAAACGGTTAGGAGTTGAAGGTTGAAATTTGGTACACAGTTAGGGTGCGTCATGAGAACGTACTGTACAGTAAGAAGGGATTTTTCGAAATTTTCCCCGCGAGAGAGAGGGACAGGATTAAGGCTTCCCATGAAGAACTCGGCTTCTATTATACTATTTTAGATGCGGTTTTTTGCGTTTTTGATTACGTTTTAATAGGGTACATCACGAGAATGTACACTAAGAAGGGATTTTTCGAAGTTCCTCCCTCGGGGGAAATGTTAACAATGGAAGTGGTTAAGTAACAATTGAAGTGTTAAGAGAAAGCGACGTGCAAGATTTACAGGTGCAGATGCGGTTTTTTGTGAGAAATCGAACATATTTTTAGATCCATCTAAAAATTTTCTAATTAGTCTGGAAGCAGGGCAACCTAATTCTTGCATTTTGAGAAAACGGGTAAGATTGACTATAATGTACTGTAATAACCTTAATCTTCGCTATCGTTACTTTTTTCCCGAGCAACGCTGGGCTTATCAGCTAGTTTATAAAATAAAATTATAATTTATTTTTCTACTGAACTTGCGTTTTATTTAAATTTTAATGTAAGATACTTATTTTGCGACAATTTTTCTCTCTTCCGCCGGATAGTGGGAAATGGGCCCGACATAATAAAAAATTCTTCGAAATTTTTGCCCACACTGATTCGATCTCGGAACCCCAGAATGATGGGTTTAAAACCTTAACCGTCTCAGTCATCCGTCGTTGATTTTTTCTTTCTGATACTTGTAAATGTCAACTGTGTTAAATAAAATTAGATATACACTTTTTCTCGCTGATATAAGTTTTATTTTGTCAAGTTTAAAACCATAACACAAATCATTAAATATTTTATTAACAATTAATATAATCTAGAATTTACTTAAAATAATGCACTAAAATGTAGACATTAACATATAAATAAAAGTTATTAATATTGATATTATTTTTCCTAAAAGTCTTATTTTTGTTACGAAGAAAAGTATACTGTATATTGAAATATATAGTCTATGAAAAATTTTATTTTTGTTTCTTTTAGAAAATATTTTTAGGTTAATCTAAATAACCTTTTAAAAGCTTGTCTGAAATCTGGACTGAATATTGTATAAATGATAGGATTTAGCATGCTGTTAGCATAACCCAGCCATAGAAGGAAACTGAAAATGTAATCATTTGGTTGACATGATCTACAAATAGGCATGACGAGAGCCATGACGAAAAATGGGAACCAACAAATTACAAATACACCTGTTATAATCGCAAGAGTTTTTGCAGCTTTTTTTTCACGTTTAAAATCTGAAGTCTCTTTACATTTTTTATTTTCTCTTTTAGCTAATATTAAAAGTTTACCAAATTTATTATTGATTTCGCACTCTGTTATTTGTTTGTTGCTCTGAAGTTTAATCAGAAACATGGCTTTGTTACGTGGGTTTCTGCGAATTCTATTTCGGGCTACTTGATAAATTCTCCAATACAATATTAAGATAATTATCAATGGAACGAAGAAGCTGGAAAAGGTGGCAAAAATTTGATAAGCTAAATCTTGGCTTACTAAACATTTTTTATCTTCTTCCAGACGCTTTTTAAAATCTGGATCCTTCCAACCAAAAACTGGAGCTACCGATATCACAATGGCTGTAATCCACACAAATAAAATCATCAAATAAATTTGGCAAGCATTTCTTTGTCTTGCATAATCCATATTTGTTACTGACCAATATCGGTCTACAGCAATGGATAATAAGTGAAGAATAGAAGCGGTACAGCATAAAACATCGCAAAATGTCCAAATATCACATAACGCCGGTCCTAACGTCCATTCTTGATTCACTTCATTAACAGCACTAAGGGGCATTACGAGACAAGCAACCATCAAATCGGCTATTGCCAATGATAAAACTAAATAATTTCTCACAGTTCGAAGATTTTTATCTATTAAAACAGCACTGATGACAAAGATATTGCCAATGATTGTTGCCAGAATCAACAAACCTAGTATTATTGATATAACTATCGTAGTAAAGTTATTGTTATTTTTAAAAAGTAAAATATGACCCGATGTAAAATTGTATTTTTCATCTTCAGCTTGAATGATCATGATTTATTTAGTATGTCTTAGTAAATAGGCAGGTAAGTAAACAAATGCTTTTATTTCTGAACTTCATTAGTTGATAATCTGTAAAGAAATTTAAATTAATAACATTGTTTTTAAGATTAATAATGATATAGTTATAGTTAATTTTTACTTTCCGACAGTTATATATAATAAAGGGAATTATGGCACTCGGACAAAAAATAATTCTCCCAATACTTTTACATTTTTAGACTCAGAGGATACCTTGAAACGTCGAGAAATGAAAAAAGTTGGGGATCTCTGCATGTACTGTACAGTACAACAGATGTTAATGTGTATGGGGGCACGATTTTGTTTACCCAATTTGTAGCTTAATAACTCCTGTGTATTAGGGGATTGATGCTATTAAATTTTGGTGTTTAAGATCGAGGATGGAGTCATTTGTCAGAGTGAAGACAGACTTGATTTTACTCGTTATTAGCACTTACAGTTTTTTAAAAATAAAACTTATCTCAACCCTCAAAATTAAGCTTTATGTCATTGTATAATAATTAATAATATAAAAAAATTTAAAATAAAAATCTCGTAAAAAATAGCGCCACACATAGTTTTAACTCATGCCGGAAAATTTACGCAATTAATTGCTGGATTTTTATAATTCTAAGAAGAATTTTATAAAATTTATAATTTTATTTTAAAAAATCCTAATTAAATTTATTATCTTAATACTTTTAATAATGTAATAAATAAAAATGCTTACAGATTTTAATTTATTATGGTTATAAGTACAAATATAAATTAGAGAATTTTAATAAAAATGTATTTTAAACATTATTTAATAATTTTGACATAGTCCAAAATCAATGATTCCGAGAAAGCAACGATTAATTTTGTTAAAGATAAACAATCGGTCTTCGAAACTAAAAGCCATGATATAATGAAAATCCGGTTAAATTACGTTATGAATCGATTTCATTAAATTTATTAATTATGTTATAATTATTAAAGTCAAAATTAAATCTGTTAAATATTTTAAAAGTCAATACTGTTATGTGCTTATGAATAATGCCTGTTGTAAATAGTATTACTGCAAAATTTATTCCATAAAAAATAATTATATAAAAAGTAAAATTCTAAATAAATAAAATAAGGTTAGAAAATAAAATTCTTATTCGTAACAAAGTATTGAATATGTTAGAGAAGTTCAATAAATACAATAAAGTTTTTTACATTTTTCTGTTAATAAATAAAAATCTAAAATTAAAAAATATATATATATTAAGTATTACTAAAACATAGAATGTCATTTATTAAGCATACAAAATTATAAAGTGTTTCGGTAGGACTTTAGAAATTTTCAATGAGTAAAACTAATTTTTCTTTAAAAATATATTAAAAATTTGATAATTAAAAAGAGAATAAATTGAAAATTTTACTTATTTAAAAAATAAAGTATGTACAGACTATTTAAAATTAATATTACAACAAAACGTGTTTAAATGTTGAGAAATTAATGAAAAGAAAATTGTAAGTTTCGAACACTGTTAGAATTTTTTTCAAGAGAAAAATTTTTTGGATCCGTTATTTGGTTCTAGGGAATTAACTTATTGCCAAGAGGATAACTACTTGATTTACCCACTCCTTCTTGCATCCATGCATTAATTCTCTTAGAATTTATTGTATTCATTTTGCTTTGAATGCAGTTTTTTTTTAATATTAATTTATTTGCCAACTTATTCCCTTTATCCGAACAAATACAATTATTATTTCAGTTTTTATTATTTTTTAAATTAGATCTTCGCATTAATATGAATGAAATCATAGATCCGTTTATTCATTTATGTAATTTTTACTAAGAAATTGGTAATAAGATAAATTTTAGTAATTCAGCAGTATTTTAAGAGCTAAAATCAATCATTATTTTTAAATTTGCAAACTCTTAACAAAAAAAATATATCGATTTTTGAAGTAAATATCAACTAAAATACCGATATATACAACACATAAAATCTGAAATAAATTCTGTTTATATTTATATCAATCATTTCATTGTTTTTCTGTTTCTAGAAATTTAAATTGAAACCATATTCTAATATTCGCATAAAATAAAACTGTATTTCTTTTAAATTTTACTTATATTGCTTTTAAAATTTATAAGAATATATATTTTAATATTAAGCTGGAGTTTATGTAAATTTAATTAAATTATATAACGTCTTACATTAAATATATTTATATCAAATTGTTTATTTGAATTATAATTACTGTATATTAATTTTTGTTTACATTATAAATTTATAATAATTAAAGTGCATCATAGAATAATTAAATTTAATTTTCCAAACAAATATTATTACTACTTTACTATAAAATTTTAAGTAAATTTAATAAATATAAAGTCATCCTTTATTATTCAGCTTTATAGAAACTAGACATAACTTTAGTATTAATTTATTGTATGTTTTATAAATTCGAAGCATAAAAAAATTTATATATAAAGTTAAACTTGTGTTATAAATTTCGGGTTTTTAAGTTAATTTTATTGTTATATTTGGTTAAAAAAATAAAATTTTCTATTCAGAAATATGAAACAAAGGCCGTCTTTGAATGAATATTTCAAAATTCTAACAATTCAGTAAGAAAAATAAGAAAAATTCTTAAATTAATTTTGTCGTAAATTAATATAATTTTATCTTCATTTCCTCCAAAGATTTATTACATCTTATAATTGAATAAAGTAACTTCATTTTATGTGGAATTTAATATCTTTATTGTACCGATTATTTAGTAAATAAAAATTTAATTAAAATATTTAAATAGGTCAGTCTTTCGGAACTGAATTTCATCAATTATTTTTTATTCATACTTTTTTAATTTAGAAATAAATTAATTTAACAATGTCTTATATTATAAAACTCTTGAAAAATGCTGGTAATTTATATTGTATAAAGGTGTATTTTTTCCTCAACAGATGAATCACAAAGTGATTGTTTGACGAAGTACTTTATTTATTTATAGAACAATTCCTTACAAAATGTATTTCGGACCTTCTTAGTCCCTCAGTTGCAAAGTGGCACTTATTTCGGCTGATGAGGAGCTAAGAATGTTCTAAATGCATTTTATAAGGCTCTATGGTACCACACCATAGAGAATAAAGTACTTCGGCAAGTACTGTTTGTGGTTCCTGCCTTGGAAAGAAAAATACACCTTTCTACAATATATTACATATTTTTTCTGTAAATAATAATGCTTGAGAGTAAATATTATGATTTATTAATATTTATAAGTACTGTAATTTCTCGAGTTACAAATTCAGTAATTTCTACTAAATCTTGCATGTCTTCTATTTGATTTTACTTCACATTTGAAGAATTATTTAGATATATCAAAGTAAAAAAAAAATACAGAGATATTTCCTATAATTTCAAAATATTGCTTTTTTACAATTATACAAACATAAAAATGTTTGTAAAATTAGAAATTTTAAAGACAATTTTAAAAAATTCGCTTCAGAATTTGTTTTTTTTTGTAGATTTATTTACATATACATATGCGATGATGATCCATAATGGTTTTTATATAAAAGTCCTATTTAAAATAGTTTTAATATGACAAAAATATGAATTAAATGTTATAGAACTATAAAAAAAAATAAGAATAGCCTTTTAAAATAGTTTTAATTACATAACAATAAAATAACCTATCTAATGCTAAATTTATGAAAAAATCGAATTGTATATACGTTAATAGAAAAATAAGTGCTTATATAAGTGACAATTACTATAAATTATTATTGTTCTATTGACACACATTTGAATTGAAGAAGTTAGTATAGAATAAACTTCATTATTTCAATAAAAAATTAAATTACATAAATAATTTTAAACAGAATTTATTAAATCACTTAATTATTTATGGAATTTTATTATATCTTTTCTTAAGAATAATAAATTAAACGTATAATACTTTAAAATGACAGGACATAAAATAAAGCTTATCTAGAGATTCGTTAGGAGCATTAAGAACCCGTGAATAAGCATTGATTTTAATGTCAAAATAAATTAGTTTGGTTAATTCCTCTTCTATTTTCTTTGGAATGAACGATATAATAAAAAGCATTTTGTTAGGTCTGTGTTTAAATCGTGCCGACAAAACCCTTATCAATTGAACAAAGGAAATGATGCTATATAAAAGTTTATTTAAAAGTACTAACGTTATTAATTAAGAATTATTAATTTAAAACTATTTATTTTTAAAGTTGATTTAATTAGAAATTCTAGTTTACACTCTTTTTTACAGATTGATTATCGTATGTTTATAATCGTATATAATGTGTTCAATGCAGAATTTATTTTAAAAAAATAATTTAGCTACGTATGTTTATATCTGTGTAAACAGCTTGTCAAATACACGTATAAAGAAAAATAAATATTTGTTAAAGAGTTTCTTGAAAGTGATTAAGCTGTAATAAAGACGATAAGTTTCTTTAGGTAGGCTAATAAGCTTTTAAACAACTTTTAAAGTGATAAGTTTTATTATTTCAATTTAAAGAAAAAATTGTTCAAAATGAATATTAATATAATAAATATAATTAAAAATTCATTTAGGTATCCAATACAAAAACTAATCTGGTAGTTCTCATTGTTGTAACCACATAATATTGTACTGTACTTACTGACTTATTAATAACTTACTTATTAACTCATTGACTAATAAATAATGTTTCTGTACTTAATAATTTGAGTGATTTTTATTATATTTCTGCTAAACTACATTGTAAAATCAAGCCTATATTTATTATTAAATATGTTTGAGCTATCGATCACATATTATGGTGGTAAAAAGTTTGTATTTTATCAAGTTTTGACAAAAATACAAACTCGTTTGTGATATATATAGGCCTACGTTAAAATTTTTTATTATCTCATATACTTTCTTTTATTTGATATTTATAAGATAGTAATGCTCTTTCTCTTTTCTAATTATCATTTAAAATGTAATGACAACGTAGAATAATAACAGTTGTTATAGAATAAATTATCACTCATTATAAGAATTCTTTATTATTTTTTAATCGATTTTGTTATTGTAAAAACTAGAAA